ACAAAGTGTCATGGTGGTGTGGGGGGAGGTGACTGGACCCATCTCTACCAGAAAGCTCTCAAAACCAGGTGGCGGGCCGGGTCTGCAGAGCCATCCAGCCTTGCTTTTGGTGTGTGCTTGCCTTCCTGGGGGTTGGCCGGCACATCGGGTTTAATACAGCCCTTTTGGAGGAGTGCAGGTGGCATCGAAGTTGTCAAACGCTTACAGACCCTGAGCCTTGCCGATTGTGTCTTACGAGTGTGCTGAGGAGGGAGTGCAGCTCGCGTCCACCACCTTCCCTATGCCATCAGGTGTTTGGAGGAAGGAAGGAAACTACCTTTAAACGATTGCAAGATCCACCCTGGCCTTACTGGGAAAGGGCCAGTGGTGAAGAGCTACGTCTGCAGTGTGGTTTTCCACTGCTCACTTCTGCCCAGCTGCCCTGGAAATTGGTCGGCTCTGCCCATTTAACAGCGGGATCAGCTCCTTTGGGACAGGACATTGAGGTGGCAGTTGTAAGTTTTGTCTGGAAAATTCAGGTGTTCTTGTCTGAGTAGGTCTCTAACTATACAAGGAGTTACTGGGCTGGCCTTCTGTGGGCCTCTGGCAGAAACCTCTTCACAGCGGACCCTGTTTGGAGTGGGGTGTGCTCCCCTCCACAGTGGTAGCGCTTTGCTGGTGGTTTTGCTTGTGAGGCTACTGCCCAGCATCTTCTGGGGGCTTAGGGTGAATGTCGTTTTCTTTAAGGGATAAGTCCCAGGAAACCAGGCCAGGCAAAGCGGTGGCAGAACACTTTTTATTCTTGACTGTCGCCCCCCTAGGAAGCAAGAATACAGAAGCTAAGTCGCCGCCTGTGAAGGCAAGAACCAACAGTCAGACAGTATTTCAAATGGCAAGCTCGGAAGCCAGTGACGCATTTTACAATGTCTGGGCCTCAATTATGTTGTGAAAACCAGGTAACTGTCCTCGGACGGGAACCACAAAATCAATTCTTGCGGCTTCTCTCAGTCTCTCTCCCAAGTAAAGGAGAGGCAAGGTGGGTTCGTTCCCCTTTGGGCTTTGGTCCAGAGACCTGATCACACTGAGCAGTTCAACATGCTGCCCTCAGCATCCCGGGAGGCGGGAGCAGCCCTGTCTTGCAGAGAGTGGCGTCTCGCCTATGGCTGCCGCTGCGGCGGGAAGGGAGCTGAGTGGCCTCCTCCAGCTGCACGGCTCAGCTGGGAAAGCTGGGCCTGGGCGGGACAGTCGGTGCCCTAGCCCTTTCCCGGCCTCCCCGGGACACCCTCTACAGGCAACACTAAGTGAGGGTCCTCTTCATCAGTACAGAGCCTGATGCTCGGAGGCGAGGAAAAGTTAGAAGTTACAGCAGGAGAGGAAAAGAGGTTCTCAGTCATACGTGGGGCGGTCCCCTTGGGGGTTAATAAGTGGCAAAGACTGTGGGCACCAGTGAAAATGGATCAACTAGTGGAAACCAAGCTTAGTAGCAAAGTGCCCCACGGGACGGGATGGGACAGGATGGGATTGGGATCAAGCAGGTCACCAGCTGAGTTACAGTTTCCCACCAGCTGGTCTCCAGGGCAGTTTTGAACACTGTTTTGCCCCTATAGGTTTGAGGCTGTCCTGTGTCGGTTGCCCACACTTGTCTTTTCTTAGCCGAGGCTGGGTGCCTGTGGCCTGGGGCTCACTCACGTGCTGCAGTGCTTTGCGGGGCAGCTTCTCCGAGTGGGCGACCCATTCTTTCATCACATCTAGGACGACGGGGATGAGGCTGACCACTCCTCCACAGTGGTTCCTGGCCTCGTGGCAGCTGAGGTAGGTTCGCCATGTCGGGAGGGCACCTGCAGGGCGGCAAGAGGGGTCGGCTGAGCCCTGCCCCAGAGATTCCCGTGCCGCGGCCCAGACCTCGGGCAGGGGTTTCTAAAGCTGCCCCCGCTGCAGAACCCCCCTGGGAGGTTTTAGAGCTGTGCGCCCACCAGGCCAGGCTCTCGGTGCCAGACATGGTGGTTGAGCGGGTTTAGGGCCCAGGAGCCCCCAGGAGATCCTGGTGTGGAAGGCATGGGTCCCGAGCTGTGGAAGCCTGCTCTGATCACTCCCAAGTACACCGTTTAGCCCCTCTGACTCTTCTTACCCTAGTATCTAAACAGCTTCCTCCAGAATTTGGTACTCTGTGCTGCGGATTCCCCAGGGCCCAGAATTAGGGAACCACGCTGGTGGTGCTGACACCCATGGGACCAGACTCCAGACATCCCACTTCTTCCTGCGCTTCTGGGAACAACTGGTCTGTGATGCCCTTCTCCTGGCCTGTCTGCAACGTCTGCAAATGTGACTAGCAATGTGCGCGGCAGTTCGCAGTTTCTAAACCGCAGTGGAACCCAGTGGCTGGGACCGTGTGCATCTGTTCCCCATACATCCCTGTCCTGAGCCCAGGCCGACGACACCAGGTGCCGACAGCATGGGTTCTGCTGATGATCTCATTAAATCCGCATAAGAGCCCTAGGAGGTGTGTGCTGCTCTTTATACATTTCCCAGATGAAATGTACAAAGAGAGATGAATCACTGGCCCAGAGTCACAGAGGTGGCGTGTGGTAGAGCCGGGACTTAAACCCTGGCCGGCTGAGTCTTGAGCCCACACTTTTCAACCGCTTTGCCGTTCACTCACATATTTGGTGAGGGAATGAGTGAGTGGCTCATTCCACCAGTTAGGATCTGAGCCTGATTCTGGCACACATGCACTGGCCCTCTCTGGGCCTTGGGTTTTTTTTTCAGCGTTCAAGTGAGGGGATGAGGCCTGGCCCCGCCCGCGAGCCCGCGAGCCTCCACCTGCCCGATGCTGGAGATGGGCCGGATCTTGGCGTGGGCATTCTCCCTGCAGTGCTCCAGGGCAGCAATGAAGGTGAACTGCTGCTGCTGGAAGAGCTGGTACTTCTGCTCCACACTTCGAAGGGATTCCTTCACCTCACCCATCATCCTGTCTGCTCATTCACAGGCGAGGAGGAGTCTGTGCAAGGAAGAGAGTCGAGCTCCCAGGGCCAGACCCGCGGATCCAGCTCGGGGGTTGTGAGATGCCCACGGCCCCTCTCAGCGGCGCATGGGGCTCAGCAGCTCCCCACAACGCTGGGGAGCAGGGACTGTTTTCATCCCATTTTGCAGAGAAGGAGACGAGGCCCAAGGAGGCCGTGCACTTGCTCAAGAACCCGGCAGGCTGTCCGCGACGGAGCCAAGCCCGACCCAAAGCCCTTTTACCTTCCAGGGGCACGTTCTTTGCCGTGAAACAAGACTTCCTTCCCTCAGCTGTAGACGTGAGTTTCTCCGGGCCTCAGTTTCTCCAGATTGTGGGTGTCTGTCCCTCTCTCTCTCTCTCTCTCTCTCTCTCTCTCTCTCTCTCTCTCTCTCTCTCTCCCACACACACACACATCACACACACACACACACACATACACACAGACACATGGCCTCCAGCACCTCCCTGTGGTGTCAGCAAAGGCCGGGATGGAGAAATGTGTCACAGCATGTAAAATCTGTGATTTTATCAGTTGGGACCACATTGTTTTAAAACATCTGCCACTCTGCAGCTGGTGGGAAAGTCTAAGGATTCTTTCCAGGCTAAGCAGGGGAAGTGTCGGCACTGAGACCCTTCTAGTCGAGTCTGAGGACATGCCATTTCCCTACTCTGTGCTCGGGGCAGGAGCCCTGAGTTGAGGTCTGCCCATCCCCAGGGCGGGGTTGGCCGCTGGTGCCCCCTCCCTGCCTCCTGTGGAGTTTGCAGGGATGACCCTGGTTGGAAACATTGACGCTGCGGGGAGTACTGTCTTTTGGTGCCTCACAAACTGTCCCAGTGTCATCCAGGAGGTCCACGACGTGTCCAGAATCTCCTCTGAGCAGAGAAAGGCAGTGGGTTCTGCCCTCCATGACATCACAGTTCTGCTGAGCACGTGCAAAATGCTCCAGGTCACGGATTTATGGAATGTTTAGGCTGGAAGGAAGCTCAGTAGATCAACTCCCCTTAACTTCCGGGGGAAACTGAGGCCCAGGGGGTCACAGCAAGCTTGTGCCAGAGACGCACTAGGTCCTGGGTTTCCTGATGTCTAACCAGCATCCTTGAAGGTGCCACAGCCGGCTGTCCCTGCACCACGAGGCCCTGGCACACATGGAGGCCAGGCTTGGACGTGCCCCGCGTCAGTCAGAGGAGGCTGCGCTGAGGTAGGGCCCCAGTGGGATGCTGCAAGTGGAAGCAGCCAGAACCCTGGGGTGAGGGGTGCGGAGAACACAGCCAGGCTTCCTGCCAGGTCCCAGCTGGAGAGGAGGCTTGTTTCTAATGGGTCTCCCTCAGCATCCTCACACAGCAGGACCGGAATGAGGGAGTCTCTGTGGTAAGAGGAGACAGCATCAGGGGGATGAAAGGAGAACAGACCACCATGTGGCCTCCACGACACGACGGGAGGGGTGAATCAGAGAACTTCGGAGGGCTGGGGAGCTGGAGCTGGGAGCCGCAGTCCTGGGCTGGGAGCTAAACGCAGCCCCGCTGCCGTAAAGGAGCTGCGCCAGGGAATTCCCTGGCAGTCTGAGCTTTCACCACTGAGGGTGCAGGTTCAATCCCTGGTTGGGGAGCTAAGGTCCCGCAAGCTGTGAGGCACGGCCGAAAAAAAAAAAAGGAGCCATGCCAGGAGGGGGCCCGACAATCATGCCCCACCAGCCCAGGTGGGTCTACTGCAAACTGAATGGAGCAGCTTCAGCGGCAGTGTCCTGAGGCCACCCCTGGGAGCCGTAGCCTGTGTTTGCCAACAGAGCAGCACAGCTCCACTGGGGACAGGCCTGGTCCAGGGCCACGTAGGGCAGTGGCCTCCTTCTACTCAACCTCCGCCCCATTCAGCACAAGCTGGGAGGGGAGCCGGGCTGTGGGGACGCCGTGGGACCTGCTGTTTGTTGAACACGTGCCACAGCCAGCCAAGGCCCCCCAGCCCCATCCTGGAGGCAGAAATGAGTCGACCTGGGGTGCAGCGGTTTTCTGTTACCTCGCATGGAGGCAGGCTTACCAGGACCTGGCCTAGGGCAAGGAGAGTGAGGCCCACACCTTGCTGCAAAAGGTAAGGGGGTGCCAGAAACACAGCAATCAAGATAGGTAAAAGCAGGCGTGAAAGAACCCTGAAAGAAGCTAAGGCTGCTGAGGGCTCGACCTCCTGGGGGAGGGAAGGTTTGAAAAGAAGGCCGGGGGCTTCCCTGGTGGCACAGTGGTTAAGAATGCAGGGGACGCGGGTTCGAGCCCTGGTCCGGGAAGATCCCATATGCTGCGGAGCAACTGAGCCCGTGCACCACAACTACTGAGCCTACGCTCTAGAGACTGCGAACCACGACGACTGAGCCCACGCGCCACAACTACGGAGCCTGTGTGCCTAGAGCCCATGCTCTGCAACAAGAGAAGCCACTGCGATGAGAAGCCCACGCACCACAACGAACAGTAGCCCCCGCTCGCCGCAACTAGAGAAAGCCCATGTGCAGCAACGAAGACCCAACGCAGACAAAAATAAATAAATAAATTTATAGAAAAGAAAAGAAAAGGCCGGCTTTGGAGAGGAGGAGGGCAGGTGGGCGGAGGTGTGGGACCCTGGGCAGAGAGTGGGAAGAGGGAATGTCGTGAGCAGGTGCGGGGGTGGTGGGCAGGGCGAGGCTGAGGGCCCACTGTCGGGCAGAGCTGTGAGAGCGAACACAGAAGCTTCTAGCCAAGGAGGTGCAGAGCACTCCAGGCGTTCGTTCATTCGTTCATTCATTTATGCCGCATTGCCTACCAGGTGCCAGACACCTGCAGGGTGCTGGGCTGGATACACAGCATTGAACCAAATAGACAAGACTCTCTACCCTGGAGGGACTTTAAGAATGGGAGGCAGACAATGAGGATAAGTGAAGTGAACAGTAGTTTAGAGAAGGAGAAAAGCAAGCAGGGAAGCCAGATGGGAATGGCCAGAAGGGCTACACAGTCTGCAAGAGGGGCATTTGCAGGAGGTGGGTGGGTGCAGGGCAGGGTGAACTGGAGCTGAGATTCAGCCTTCAACGAGATCCCAGATGGCTCGGCCCAATCCTCCTAATAACAGTTGGTTCGATGAGGCTCTAGGTAAACCCTGGACAGGCATCACCTCAGATCCTTGCTACAGCCCTTTCAGCGGGGTACCACGATCACCCCCACATGACAGATGACAGATGACAGAGCCGAGGTCAGGCAGCTAGGACGGGAGCAAACCAGCTTCCCCACTCAGTTCTGCCCGACTTTATTTAGCCTGGGATCTTGGATACCTCCCTTCCTTCCCCCACCCCCCAGCCCCCAGTGATGGTCCATTGAGAGAAACACGCCAGACACCAGATTGACTGTGGCTGGGAGTGGGGGTGGGGGTGGGGAGAGGATACCAAAGGCCTGCACTGCCTAGACCCTTGGGCCTCGCTTCCGCTCGAGTGAGACTGTTCCCTGTTCCCCACCCCAGAGCAACGAGGACTAGCGTTCAGGGGGCTGCCCTGTGTGCCCAGCTCCCTGCCACCCTCCTGGAACTGCCAAGTTCTCTAGGGATACAGCAGCCCTACCTTGACTGGTGGCCCCAAGAGCCCCTGAGAGCAAAAGCGACTTGGTTCTTGATCCTAGCGACTTGTGACATGCGCACCAGGAGTATTGTGAGAGGAGCTGTAATAAGCTATCCAAAGTGATCATCCCTTGAACAAGCGTCACTGCAGCCAGATTAGTCTGGATGAAAGGCACAGGGTGCAGGCACTTCTTGATCTGGGGGAGGAGGAAGGAAAAAACTGATTATCCGATAGGTTTTAGGCTTTAATTGATTTGTATTTTTTCAGGCTGCTAAAGAAGATTAAATCATCGTATGAAAAGCGCCTAGGGCTTAAAATAAATGAGGAGGAAGGCAAGTCATTTCAGAAATGTCCAGGAAGCAAACTGAACCTCTCCAGTGCAAATTGCAGGCTTGGTGGTTGTGTTCTTTGTTCAGGGTGAGGCAGTTTTCTTTTCTTCCCCAGCTGTCTTTGCAGTTGAATTTGACAAGCCTACCAAAGTGTGTACGTGCTCTGAGAAGGCAGTTCTGAGGGGGAGCGAGCCTCTTCCCCTTGGAGGGCATGTCTCCGGGCTGGTAGCTGCTGGAAAAGGCTTTGGCTAGGAGTCAGGACACGTAGTTCCAGCCTGGCTCTACCTTTAACAAGTGACCTTGGCCTAGAATTTCCCCCTTTCCAGGCCTCAGTTTATCCATCTGTAAAATGAGGGAGTTTGGATTAGAGGCTTTTCAAGGGCTCTTCTGATTCTAATGCTCCATGATCAACAGCTGATGAGGAAAGAGGTCCAGAAAAGGGAAATGGCTCAGCTAACAAATTTTTACTGTTCTGAGCCTCCAATTTCTCACCCGTAAAATGGGAATGAAGGTACCTATTTCTCAGGGTTGGTGCAAAGATTAAATGAGATATATTACTAATAGTAGCCCCTATGCATTGTGCACTGACTACACACCAGTTACTGTCTAATACTTCTGACATATTAGTTCATGGAAACCTTCCTTACTCCCCACTTAATAGGGGAGGAAAGTGAGGCACAGAGCAGGTTTGCACAGCTAGTAAGGGCGGAGCCAGGATTTGAACTCTGGGCAACCTGTATTGACTCTGCCATACTCCCGCTCCATAATGCTCACATTACGGTAGCTCCTCCTAAGAATAGCAACGGACAAGAGCTAGAGCTCCCAATTCAGTGCCGCATCAGATACCAGGCTGCCCACCGGGGATTAACACGATTCGCAGACCTCCTTCCCCCGCCCCGCGTCCCACCCCAACTCTCTCTCTCAGGGCAGCGGCAGCAGCGGCGGCCCCCTCCATTCTCCACGCCCCTCACCCTCCAGTTTCCAAATCCAGGGCTTGGGTGGGCCCTCCCCGGGCCTGCTTTAACCTTGCTTGTCCTAGAGCGGCCTTCACTCACAGAGCGCCCTGAAGCTGGA